GTCACCAGGCTGGAATACAATGACATGATCTTGGCTCACTTCAACCGCTGCCTCCCAGGTTCAGGCGATTCTCCTGCCTCAGCCTCCCAAGTAGCTGGGACTACAGGCACATACCTCCACACCCAGCTAATTTTTGTATTTTTAGTAGAGACGGGGTTTCATCATGTTGGCCAGAATGGTTTCAATCTCTTGACCTGGTGATCTGCCCACCTCAGCCTCCCAAAGTGCTGGGATTATAGGTGTGAGCTACCACGCCCAGCTAACAGTTTTTTCTGTCAGCACCTGAAAAATATTGTGCCACTTCCTTCTGGCCTCCCTGGTTTCTGGTGGCAAATCTGCTGTTACTTGAATTGCTTTTCCCCTGTAGGTAAGGTGTCATTTTTCTCTGGCTGGTTTCAAGTTGTTATCTTTGGTTTTCAGAAGTCTAATTATGATGTTTCTTGGCTTGGCTTTTTTGGGAGTTACCCAGTTTAGAATTTACTTTGAATCTGTACGTTTGTGTCTGTCAAATTTGAGGAGTTTTCAACAATTATTTTTTTCTTTTTCTTTTTCTTTTTTTTTTATGACGGGGTTTCACCATGTTGATCAGGCTGGTCTTGAACTCCCGACCTCAGGTGATCCGCCCACCTCGGCTTCCCAGAGTGCTAGGATTACAGGCATGAGCCACCATGCCTGGCCTCAACAATTATTTTTTCTAGTACTTTTTCAGCCCTGACCTCTTTCTCCTATTCTTCCATGACTCTGATAACCTAAATATTAGATCCTTTCATGGGTCTACTTCAGTTGGCTGATGGAATTCTAACATATAAAGCACACTGAGGGGGTGAAGGCGTTCATTCTATTATAAATTAAACCTAGAAACCTTAGAAGTGATGAGTCAGATAATAATAAATCTTAATGACAACAGGATGCGGTTAAATATATGTTGATAACTATGCATTTATGTTAGTTGATAACTCAAGTTGCATCATCTTTGACTTTGTACGAGTTGCAAAACACCAGAAATGACACACAAGTAGGCAGGAGGCTAGTCAGCCTTTCAGAATGCAAAACTGAAGCTGAATCGTGGATTTTAGAAGCCCAACTTTTACCTGCGCTACACAGGAGTTTCATTGTTATAAAAGCTATCTTTTTCTGATGGTCATCACAGTCCTTTAGTTGGCTTACTTGAAAAAGGATCACTGCAAAAATTTCCCTGTCTGTGCAAGAATTAGATAATGTGACAATTGTTAAACAGGAAATACTTATTAGATTCCTACTGTGTTGCATATTTTAAAATTTTATTTAAAATATGTATTAAAAACAAATGCACTTGTATACTTTAAAAGATTGAATTTTTTATTTTATGTGACTTATAGCTCAATAAAACTTATTTTTAAAATATATGCATAATTTCTTTTTTGTTTCATTTTTTATGGGCAGTAGTTCCTTAAGCTTAAAAAGAATATAAACCTAAATACAGATACCAAGGTTTCTTTTTAATTCGTTTACTGCTGCATACATTTTGGAAGTATGTCGATTCTGAGGAAAGAAATCATGGTGGACCTATCACTAAGAACTAAAATTGATCTTTAATATTTATGTCATGTCATGGTATTTGAAAATGTTATGTTACTAAGAGCTTTGATGGCAATTATTTTTTCCCCCTTTAAATAGTGATGTTGGAAGCCTCTGCAGAGAACATTTTACAGCAGGACTTTTGCCATGCTATCAAAATTGGAGTGAAATATACCCAACAAATAATTCAGGGCATCCAGCAGTTGGTAAAAGAAATTGGTGTTACCAAGAGGACACCTCAGAAGCTATTTACCCCTTCACCAGAGATTGTGAAACATGCTCATAAGTAAGAACATCTGTGCAAATGAAAATATGAAATTGTCATCAGATTTAATTTCCTCTTGGGAGAAAAACTTCCCATGGAAGCACTGCCCATGTATTACTTCATAAATAGTATTTTCTGTTTTAAGAGTAATTCCCATAAATATCTGTTTATTCCCTTAAAAAGGATAAGCCCACATCACTCTTGTAAGGCCTAACTTTGAATCTCAAATGAAAGACTGTGTTTATTGGTCAAGATTCAGGTAATCCCCACATCTCTCTGTATCTGGGAAACAGAGAATAAAGCATAAGATACTTGAATATCTAAGGAAACTGTTGAGATTCTCAAAAAGAAATCAGATGTAATCACTGTTACATGCCCAGTGCTTAGAATGTTAGGCAGACACTCTGTAAATGTAAAAGGTTAATACTTTCCCTCAATGTCAGTTGCACAGCCATCAGTTAGAAATTAAATTAACTCTTCCTAGCAAAAGAGTTTCCTGTGATAACTGAGCCAAAATAGGTGGAATGGAAGAAAGGAAGAGGTTTAAAAAAGTATGTGAAAGGTGAAATTAATTGAACAATTAAAAAGAAGAGAGCAGGATACCATAAGTGATTTCCCCTGAGAGGATAGGAGAAAGAAATTTGTGTTCTGTACCATAAATAGTAAACAGATTAGCAATGATAAATAGCAATATAAATTTTTAATTCTTCCTGAAATATTTATTAAAGTTTTAGCTGATTATTATTAAATATTTCAGTTTTGTTTATAATAAAAACTGCCTCATGTTTCCAAATACTATGCTAACATTTATTTTGTGCTTAAATAGACTCGCTATGGAGAAACTCTATGCAGTTTTTACAAATTATGAACATGATAAGGTAGGTATACCTGAATTTTGTCTTATATAATTGTCCTAGGAATACATTTTTTTCATAACTCATGTAATTTTCCTTATGAATGTTAGTCCTATTTTTATTAGAAATTTCTAAACAAAAAGCTAACAAAAGCCTAATTGCTTATTTCTCCATTGTTTTGTTTTTGAGACAAGATTTTCACTCTGTAGCCCAGGATGAAGTGCAGTGGTATGATCTTGGCTCACCACAACTTCCACCTTCCAGGTTCAAGCGATTCTCCTGCCTCAGTCTCTTAAGTAGCTGGGATTACAGATGCACGCCACCACACCTGGCTATCTTTTGTACTTTTAGTAGAAACAGGGTTTCACCATTTTAGCCAGACTGGTCTCAAAATCCTGGCGTCAGGTGATCTGCCCACCTTGGCCTCCCAAAGTTCTTTTCTTTTTTAATATAAGTTTTAGGGGAGTATACAAATGTATTTGAATGAATTAACAGGTAATATTTGTCATAAATCAACCAATTTTAATATTTTAAAGAATATTACAGTTAGAGAAATCTGAGTAACTCACAATGTATTCATTGAATAATAATTAGAAAACAGAAATGTTAAATGTTGCCATGTATCTGTAATAACTGAACCTCAACTTTCTTTTAGATTTCCAGAGATGAAGCTGTTAACAAAATAAGATTAGATACAGAGGAACAACTAAAAGGTAAATTTTATTTTATTTTATTTTTTTGCTGAGGGCAACCTTAATAAGGCATGGCTTGGCTCTTGCTTCTTGGGATTAAAGGTCAAAGAGGAAGGGCATCACGTCTGTAAGAAAAGGAGAGTTCAAAGGACTTTGAACTTTACAGCTGCTGTTCCCTAGGCCTGGAATGCTCTCTCATAGCAGGTAATCTTTTTCTAATTCAAGACTCAAATGCCACCTCTTCTCCAAAGCTTACCTAAACTGTTTCAAGGAAAAAGAAAGTCCCTTTGCACAGAACTTCAATTACTATGTATTTTTTAATTTAAAAAGCATTAAAAGAAATAATAGACTTTTTTTTTTAACTTTGGTTGAAGATCTCAAATAAATGTTACTCTCATTGCTTCTCAGTTGCATTTTCTATTTTCTTTTTTCTTTTTGAGACAGAGTCTCACTCTTGTCGCCCAGGCTGGAGTGCAGTGGCACGATCTTGGCCGACTGCAACCTCAGCCTCCTGGGTTCAACCAATTCTCCTGCCTCAGCCTCCCAAGTAGCTGGAATTACAGGCATGCACCACCATGCCTAGCTAATTTTTTTGTATTTTTAGTAGAGACGGGGTTTCTCCATGTTGGTCAGGCTGGTCTCCAACCCCCAACCTCAGATGATCCACCTGCCTCGGCCTCCCAAAGTGCTGGGATTATAGGCATAAGCCACTGTGCCTGGCCTCTCAGCTTTATTTTCAATAAACTTACTATAATGATAGCTCACAGGGTTACTTCTAAATTAACTTCCATGAATGTGGCTAGCACTGCATTTGATGCAGAGTAGGTACCTAGTAAATGTTGAATGTGAATGTTCCTGATCTTTTCTGAATCAAACTCTTACCATACAAGATGTGTAACTTGGTATCTTTTCATTTGAAAACCCAAAGATATTCTTTAAAATTCTTGAGTTCTTGATCTGTTAAATTGCAGTATTAATAATACCTAGTTTATGGGGATTAAATGAGTGAATCATTTACATCTGTGCCTGGCACACAGTAAGTGTTCAATAAATATTAAATGATGCTATTCTTAGTCTTAATACCTAGCAGAATTATAAGATACAGATCTTAGGTAATTTGGCTCTCCAGAAATTATTAAGAAAAGGATAATATTGTGTAATATCAATCTCACACAAACCGAATATGAATGAAGTATGACATAGTTTTTGTTAATTTTTCTAATAAATATACTTTCACATGAATATTTAAGATAAAAAAAAACGGGCTGGGCACAGTGTGTCATGCTTATAATCCCAGCACTTTGGGAGGCTAAAGCAGACACTTGAGGTCAAGAGTTCAAGACCAGCCTGGCCAATATGGTGAAACTCCATCTCTACTAAAAATACAAAAATTGCCAAGTGTGGTGTCAGGCACCTATAATCCCAGCTACTCAGGAGGCTGAGGCACAAGAATCACTTGAACCTGTGAGGCGGAGGTTGCACTGAGCCAAGATCTACCACTGGACTCCAGCCTGGGCAATAGAGCAAAACTCTGTCTGGAAAAAAAGGAAAAAACAAAACAAAACAAAACTGCTGTTAGCATTGATAATATTAAGGCCATTAACTGTAATTGTCATTGAATAAGTTTAATCCTTTCTCACTACATTTCATTCTGTCTAGTAAGAAAGAAATTTTATAGCAAATATTGCCTTATTTTAAAAGAAAAGTGATTTTTTTGTTTATATTATACATAGTAGAATATCTTCACAGCCCTCTGGGTAGATAGGATAATATTTTAAATGTTTTGGTACTGATTGTTTTCCTTTACAAGTACAACTCAGTGAAAGCATAAAGATATTACGGCCTAATATTAAAAATTATTCTTGTCTGAGGAAGATACGATACTAATATATCTTATGTGACCATTTCTCATGTTTTGGTTACTTTGAAGTTATATTTAATAAACCATACACATGGCTGGGCACAGTGGCGCACACCTATAATCCCACTACTTTGGGAGGCCAACGCGGGCAGATCACAAGGTCAAGAGATCAAGACCATCCTGGCCAACATGGTGAAACCCCATCTCTACTAAAAATACAAAAATTAGCAGGGTGTGGTAGTGTGCGCCTGTAGTCCCAGCTACTCAGGAGGCTGAGGCAGGAGAATTGCTTGAACCCGGGAGACGGAGGTTGCAGTGAGCCAAGATTGCACCACTGCACTGCAGCCTGGGCAACAGAGTGAGACTCTGTCTCAAAAAAATAAACCATACACATGAGAGAACAGTACTTAAAACTTGGCATAAATTAACTGATAGGAAAAAATAGCTTAACATCTAAGCCATAAGCTAAAAATAAAATAAAACCATAAGCCTTTGAGGCTGACAGATCTGTATTCAGGTCACAGCTGTATCAGTTACTAGCTGTGTGGTCTCAGGCAGTTTACTCCGCCTCTTTTTTTATTTTTTTAATTCACTGGTTATCTCCTATACGATACTCCACCCCTTTAAGCCTCAGTTTTTTCTTCTGCACAATGAGAATAATAAAATTTGTTTCATAAGTTGTTATGAAAGTTAAAAGTATTTAAAAACCAATAAAATGCCTGGCTCATGAAGGCACTTGACAAATATTAGATAGAAAACAATTTGTAGGGATTCATAACATATTTTTAAAATTGTTCCCCAATTTGCAGATTTAGATAAAGGAGAAAGAGTGAGGGTGACTACTCTTAAAACTGTCCATTAGGCTGGGCGCAGTGGCTCACGCCTATAATCCCAGCAACTTGGGAGGCTGAGGCGGGTAGCTCACCTGAGGTCAGGAGTTCAAAACCACTTGACCAATATGGAGAAGCCCCATCTCTACTAAAAATACAAAATTAGCCAGGCATGGTAGCACATACCCGTAATCCCAGCTACTAGGGAGGCTGAGGCAGGAGAATCGCTTGAACCAGGGAGGCAGAGGTTGCCGTGAGCTCAGATCGCTCCATTGCACTCTAGCCTGGGCAACAAGAGCGAAACGCCATCTCAAAAAAGAAAAACCTGTCAGACCCTTCCATAAAGAGTGGCTGGATTCTTCTGGTAACATAATAGGAAAGGGAACTGATGGACTGGGTACGGTGGTTCATGCCTGTAATCCTAGCACTTTGGGAGGCCGAGGTGGGCGGATTCCCTGACCTCAGGAGTTCAAGACCTGCCTTGGCAACATGGTGAAACCTGTCTTCACTAAAATACAAAAAATTAGCCGGACATGGTGGCACACGCCTGTAGTCCCAGCTACTCGGGAGGCTGAGGCAGGAGAATTGCTTGAACCCAGGAGGTGAGGTTGCAGTGAGCCAAGATCACACCACTGCACTCCGGCCTGGGCGACAGAGTGAGACTTTGTCTCCAAAAAAAAAAAGAAAAGGGAACTGATTTTAAAGCAAACTAAGTTCACAGTAACAACACAGTTGTGGTACTTGGTACTTGATGTGTCACAGTTGCTTGAGAACATTTTATTTATCTACTTTGTTTGCCTGAGGACTAAATGTTCAGAGTTATGTCCCTTGGTTGATTCCTGTAGTTAATTGATTTTATGCTATGGACTGTAGAGAAATCTTGTCTCCTTATAAGTAAAAATCTTTATTTTGTTTTTTCTTTTCTATAGAAACATTTCCAGAGGCCGATCCATTTGAAATAATAGAATCCTTCAATGTTGTTGCAAAGGAGGTTTTTAGAAGTATTATTTTGAATGAATACAAAAGGTAAACGTACCCTTTTTTGATGAAATTGAAGCATGTACTGTCTCTGCAAGTTGCCTTGAAAATGGAAACTTCATCAAAGAAAGTTTATTTTCTTTCAATTGAACAGTAAAGAATTATAATATTTGCTATATAAATGGACACCTATTGAAGAAAGAGTATATGGCTATATGACCATCTGTCTTGGGCCTTGTGTGTAAAGCAGTGAGTGCTTGCCAGCGCTGACTGTATTTCAGGATTACCTGTGGAGCTCTTTAACAACACAGGTATATAAGTTCAACTGCAGACATTCTGATTCAATGAATCAGGATAGTGCTCAAGTATCTGTATTATTAAGTTCCATAGATGATTGTGATACGCAACTGAGGTTGAGAACATCCTGGCAGAGATAAAGACAGGTGATTTTTCCGATTTGTAGCATGACATCAAGTACTTATTTCTTCTATCACTATAGGTGCGATGGTCGGGATTTGACTTCACTTAGGAATATAAGTTGTGAGGTAGATATGTTTAAAACCCTTCATGGATCAGCACTATTTCAAAGAGGACAAACACAGGTAATTTATATAAAAAGCTCTAATTATTTGCTAAATTAAGATTGTTTAATTAGATTTAATAGAAATACATTAGTAGATGCTATAGGTTTTGTCATATAGTATAATTTAGTTAGATTAATGTGTGTTCTTGTTTGTTTGTTTTGTTTGAGACAGGGTCTTACTTTGTCACTCAGGCTGCAGTGCAGTGACACAATCATAGCTTATTGAACCTTCAAACTCCTGAACTCAGGCAATCCCCCCACCTCAGCTTCCTGAGTAGCTGGGACTACAGGCATGTTACCATGCCTGGCTAATTAAAAATTTTTTTTTGTAGACAAGGTCGTACTATGTTGCCAAAGCTGGTCTCACACTCTTGGCCTCAAACAATCCAGTGTGCTGGGATTACAGGCATAAGCCACCGCACCTGGCCTCTGGTGTATTTTATATAATTTTAATAGGTTTTTTTTTGTTTTTTGTTTTAGGTATACTTGCTATTCAATAAACTATGCTGTTTAGAGTGTATGATTTGGTAACTTTTCATATATACAACTGAGAAACCAGTAAAGATAATGAACAGGCCAGGCATGGTTGCTGAGGCCCAGGAGTGAGGATTGCCTGAGGCCAAGAGTTTGAGGTTGCACTGATCTGTGGTCGTGCCATTGCACTCTAGCCTGGGCTACCGAGCAAGACCCTGTCTCTTAAAAAATTTAAAAATAAAAAAGATAATGAACATATCTGTTACCCCCAAGAGTTTCCTTATGCCTTTTTGTAATTCCTTCTTCCTGCCCCCACCTCCTCAAGTGACTGCTGATCTGCTTTTGCTGCTATAAATTAGTTTGCATTTTCTAGAATTATCTGGTATTTCTGTTGTATCTTTCTTTTGATATTGGATATACAAAATTGATAACTCAGGCTCCAGTTTATGGCATATTGTTTTTTTGGGTTTTTTTTTTTTTTTTTTTTTTTTTTTTTTTTNCTGAGCTCAGGCTGTTCACCCACCTTGGCCTCCCAAAGTGCTGGGATTACAGGTGTGAGCCACCACACCCAGCCAATTAAAAAAATTTTTTTTGAGGTGGAATCTCACTTTGTTGCCCAGGCTGTAGTGCAGTGGCATGATCTCAGCTCACCGCAGCCTCTGCCTCCTGGGTTCCAGCAATTCTGCCTCAGCCTACTGACTAGCTGGGATTACAGGCACACGTCACCGCACCCAGCTAATTTTTTTGTATTTTTAGTAGAGATAGGGTTTCACCATGTTGGTCATGCTCGTCTTGAACTCCTGACCTCATGATCCTCCTGCCTTGACCTCCAAAGTTCTGGGATCACAAGCCTGAGGCACCACACCCAGCTGACATATTGTCATTGTTGACCTATTCAGGGCCCTCATTTATTTTCTCCCTTTAGCCTGTGCCACAGTTCTGTTCTTCTTCTTTACATAGGCACCCACTTTTTTGTATTTAACATGTAGCCTTCTGGTTCTCCTTCGGTTCATGTATTAACACTTCCCTACATCTGTATTCATTGTCCTATATACCATATTATGCTTTATACCTCTTTCTTATTTGTTTCTTTAATTCTGTCAATCTGATAGGTACCAAGTAGTATCTTGTTGATTTAATTTATATTTTCCTGATTACTAAGCATTATTTATATAACAGCCAGTCAACATGGTCACTGCATAAACCATGCCCTGGGGAACTGCACACCACCAGGGCATTATTTTCACATGGATGTTGATCCCTAGAGCTGTGCAGTATGGTGGCTCTGCCTCAACTTTGCTTTTTTATGAATTTTCTGTCCATATCCTTTGGCCAGTTTTTCTTTCTTTAATATGGTTTACTGTATTGTAGCTATTTTGCAGTAATTTCTTATAAGTGTTTTAAATATTCTTTTTGGTAACAAACTTTATATATATATGTTTCCTTCTTTATTGATTGCCTTTTAACTTTGCCTGCAGTAGCCTACTGTGTTTAGAGTAAATCTGAAATCTTTAGTTCTGATATAGTTTACCTTTTCACTTTTGAGGTTTGTATTTTTGAAGTTTTATTTAAGAAATTCTTCTGTACCTCAAAGTTACGAAGTTACCCACCTACTTTTTCTATTAGCTTTCTAGTTTTAGCTGTCAAATTTAGACCATTAATTGATCTTTGAATTTATTCCTACATGTTGTATGAAAGAAAACCTCCATAGTGAACCAATTTTACATTATTTACTAATACTTTTTCTCAGTGACTTGTGATGTCACCTTATGATCGTCAAAATTTATAAATACGTTGTTAAACTATATGTTTTTTCATTGTTATGTGAATTTTTGGGGCCACTGCCAAACTGTTTTAATTATCATGATTTTGGGGTACATTTTAACATCTGAGAAACAAATCGTCTTCCCTGTTTTCTCTTACCCTCAAAATTGTTTTAAAATATAGGTACATTTGTTCCTTTTTTTATTTTTTCTTTTTTTTTTCTGAGACGGAATTTCACTCTTTCGCCCCGGCTGAAGTGCAATGGCACAATCTCAGCTCACTGCAACCTCCGCCTTTCGGTTTCAAGCAGTTCTGCCTCAGCCTCCCGAGAAGCGGGGATTACAGGCACACGCCACTATGCCCAGCTAATTTTTGTATTTTTAGTAGCGATGGGTTTTCTCCATATTGGCCAGGCTGGTCTCTAACTCCTGACCTCGTAATCCACCCACCTCGGCCTCCCAAAGTGCTGGGATTACAGGTGTGAGTCACCGCGCCTGGCCCCATTTGTTCCTTTATTTGAAATTTAGTTCATATCAAGTTCTCAAAATATCCCTTTAGGATTTACAATAGTAATTGCACTAAATTTATATATTTATCTGAGAGAAGAATGATACTTTTATAATTTAAGTTATAGTCTTTAGAGTGAATATAGTCTGTCTCACTTTTGATTAAGGTTTTCTTTTATGCTCTTTAGTAAGTTTTTAAAATGCCTTCATTAAGATATTCTGCATACTTTTGTTATCCATTGTGATAATCTCTGCCTTTGTAACTGTAGTACTTAGTCCATTCATGTTAAATTTAACCACTGATACAATTGAATTTACTGTCATTTTATTATTTATTTTGCTGTTGTTTTTTGTTTCTCTATTTTTTACTTTCAGCCTTCTTTTTGAATTAATTGAATATTTTTATAACTATTTTAATTTGCCGAATTATTTTTCAGTTGTACCTCTGAATTATTTTTCAGTGATTACTATAGAAATTACAGTATACATACATAACTTCTCACAAGTCATTTTATTTATATATATTTTAAAATTTTTGTAGAGACAGGGTTTCACCATGTTGCCCAAGCTAGTTTTGAACTCCTGGGCTCCAGTAGTTCTCCGGAGGCCTCAGCATCCCAAAGTGCTGGTATTATAGGCATGAGCCACCATGCCAGGCCCTCACAGTCTTTTTAGAATTAATTTTGTACCACTTACCATAAAATGAAGAAACTTTGCAACCATTTAGGTGCATTTCCCATCCCTTCTATCCTTTATATTGCAGTTGTCTTATTATGTATTACAACTACATGTGTCATAAACCCCCGCAAGGCAATGTCATAACTTTTATACAATCATATATTTTAAGGAAGTGATAAGAAAAAGATAGGCTTTTATATTGGCCCACATATTTACCATTTCTGGTGCTTTTATTCCTTCCTGAAGATCCAGGTATGGATCTAGTATCATTTCTCTTCATTCTGACAAGACTTCCTTTAATATCATCCTATGAGTTTTCTAATAACAAATTCTAATTTTTTGTTTTTCAGAAATGTCTTTATTTTGCCTTTATGTACAAAGAATCTTTTTTTTTTTTTTTTTTNTTTAACCAGATACTGCATGTTCAGTGTACAAAGAATCTTTATGCTGTGTACAGAATTCTGGGGTGATTCTTTTTTCTTTTAGCACCTGAAGATGTTTCAGTGTTTTTTGTTCTCCATGTTTTTCTGATGAAAAGGATGCAATCAAATCATTGTTTCTTATATATTATGATTGTTTTCATGTGGGTGCTTTCAAGATTTGCTCCTTATCTTTGGTTTTCAGCATTATAATTGAAAGGTGTGGTTTCCTTTGAATTTATTCTGCTAAAAGTGTGCTGAGCCTAAATCTGTCCATTCATGTCTTTCACCAAACTTCAGAATTTTTATCTATTCTTTCTTCAAATATTCTTTCCTGCCTCATTCTCTCTTCTTGCCTTCTGGAATTGTAACTGCGCATATGTTATCCTTTTGATACAGTCCTACAGGTGACTGCAGCTATGTTCTCTTTTCCCTGTCTTCTGCAAATTGGACAATTTCTGTTCATTCATCTTCATGCTCACTGACTCATGCTATCTCCTTTCCATTATGAGATATTAAAGTTTTCAGTTTTAGAATTTTCACTTATTCTTTTTTATGTCCTTTTTTCCTTTTTTTTTTTTACACTACTGTGAGATTATTTCCAGATACATTTTTTTTAATGTCCTTTGAGTATAATTATAATAGCTGTTAAAAATCTTTTGCCTGCTGAATCCACCTTCTTAATCAACTCAGAATCAGCCTCCATTCCTTGTCTTTTTTCTTGAGAATGTTCCCTGTTTCCTGTTTCGTTGTAGGTTGTATACTGGATGTTGTAAATGATACATTGTAGAGTCTCTGGATTATATTATGTGTCTACAAAGAAGACTGATTTTTTTTTTTTTCTTGAGACAGAATCTCACTCTGTTGCCCAGGCTGGAGTGCAGTAGTGCAATCTTGGCTCAATGCAACCTCCACCTCCCAGGTTCAAACGATTCTGCCTCAGCCTCCTGAGTATCTGGCACTACAGGTGCATACCACCATGCCTGGCTAATTTTTGTATTTTTAGTAGAGACTGTTTCACCATATTGGTGAGGCTGGTCTTGAACTCCTGACCTTGTGATCTGCCTGACTTGGCCTCCCAAAGTGCTGGGACTACAGGCATGAGCCACCACACCTGGCCTGATTTTTTAAAATTTTAAGCAGGCGGTTTTATTGGCTGAACCTGTATTGAGGCTTTCTCAGCGGACTCTCATACATAGTTCTTAAAAATACTGCTTTTTCTTCCTGACTTCCTTCCCCAGCACTCCTAGTGCAGTGCTTTACATTTGTAGTCTGTGTGATGTTAGAACTTTGGATTATTGAGGTTTACACATAGTTTGAATATTTATAGGATAAATAAGCGTTTACTGCACTTAGTAGGATGGCAAGCTTTGTGTAGGATGTACTTAGCCCATTTTTTTAAGAGTTAGTTGGATTCTTCAAATATTTTTAGTTTTCATCTTTGTGGTTAGTATATTAAAGCCTGAGAAATTCTTTTTTCTTTTTTAGGTGCTTTGTACTGTTACATTTGATTCATTAGAATCCAATATTAAGTCGGATCAAGTTATAACAGCTATAAAGTAAGTTATGTTATTATGATGTTTGTTATATTTTATGATGTTCTAGTATATAATTAAAGCTTATGTGATATATTATTAGTCATTGTTACTTTTTTTAACTTGTATTTTTGTACTTTATTTTTCTGTTTACATCATGATTTCAAAGGATTGTGTGTGTGTGTGCTATATTGTCTTCTAAATCACTAGTTTACAACAAATATTGGTACCTCATTTAATTCTTTACTGTGAGTACATTTAGTTTGTTCTGTGTCTCTAGAATGATTTCTTAGGACAGACTTCCTTGGTAATCTTGAATGGATTGGTTTTTCTATTTGAAACAAGAGGGCAAATAAATAAACAAAAGTTCCCATTGCTGAAACTAAGCTGGAGGCTGTTAATGAAAAGCCTTGTCTAATCCCAAGCCACATACATTGTGATTTTGTGTTCAGAAATACTTGGCTGTCCTCCTCTGCTCCTAAAAAGTCAACAATAAAATCATGCTGATGAATTTTGATGATAAGAATCTGTATAGCAGTCCTCACCAGCATTATTGCATCAGAGTGTTGACATTCATAGCCAGTTCTTTATTTTCGTCAGTGCCTAGTAGGGCTACTTTCAGTTCCCTAGTTAAGGGTCTCAGAAGACCACAGGTACTCAGCCTCCCTTTTCCTGCTGCCCAACTGATGAGGATAATTCCCAGTATCTTCGGGATAGCCCCTGTAATTGATTTCCATGTATCTGATAAAATCGACAGTGCAGCTGTGTGTGTGAAGGTGGAATGCAGAGCACTGGGCTTGGTCAGGGAACCTCCACATATTCTAGTGTTAGGTCTATAACCTACGTAAATAAAGGGGTTCATGTCGTCACTCAGCCACACTGGCCTTTGGTTTCTATTTCTTAAAAAATGAACAGGGCCAATGACCCACTATAATGCTCTCTAGCTGCCCTATTCTGTGATTCCTTTAGTCCTTTGAAGGAGTTTGATTTTTAGATTTCTTTTTCATAGTTAACAGTTTATGATCATGCAGATTCTGCCCCATCCCAGGACTTTTTCTTCATTTCCCATGTTGACTGGGAGAAGCATTATAGCTCTGAGATTTAACTAATGTGGTTACAGCATTTAGGATTCTCTCAGTAGTTGTTAATGCTTAAAAATACATCTATTGTCTTGTCTTAGTATTAAAATTTGGATTTAAGGGCTTACATTTAAAGTAAAACTGGCTTTCTAAATCTGTACAATTTATTCATAAGCCCCAGGAGAAAATATCATCTCACAATCATCCTTCTAATTAATTCTGTGGTTTTCAGTTTCAGTCTAATATTTATTAATACCTAGATGTTTTGTAAAATCCCCTTAAATATGTTTTAGTTGTTTATTGAAACAAATACATTTTTTTCCTATGATGTTTTTAATATGATGCCTTTTATTTGTAGTGGGATAAAAGATAAAAATTTCATGCTGCATTATGAGGTAAGGTGAATTTTTTTCCCCAAAATTTTATTTTATTTATATTTGTGAGACAAGGTCCCACTCCGTTGCCCAGGCTGGAGTGAGTGGTGCAGTCTTAGCTCACTGCAACCTCTGCCTCCCAGGCTCAAGATATCCTCCCTCCTCAGCCTCCTGAGTAGCTGGGATTACAGGCATGTGCAACCACGATTGGCTAATTTTTCTATTTTTTTCTGGAGAATGTTGCTCAGGCTGGAACATTTTATTTTTTAAAACTTCCAGGATACAGTAAAGTTGAAAGAACTTTTCAGTGACTATTCATATACCCACTATCTGGATTTTACCAATAATCATATTTTACTTTGCTAGTTTCATCATATATCTATTAAGGTCAATTTGGGGGCTACTATTTTATTATTTACAGAAGGCATGGCAAGCTTCGTGTAGAATGATAAGTAGAGAGAGATATAAGTAGTATTTTAGAGAATACTTTAGTACTACTTTAGATACTTCATTCACAACAAATCCTAAGGGACCAGACCTAGTATAAAGTACTTTTAATTTTGTTATTTGAAGAATATACATGGAGAGCAGGGCATGGTGGCTCATACCTGTAATCCCAGTCCTTTAGGAGGCCGAGGCAGGAGAATAGCTGAGCTCAGAAATTCAAGACCAGCTTGCGCAACATAGTGAGATCCTGTCTCTACAAAAAAAATCTAAAAATTAGCCAAACATGGTGGCACATGCCTATAGTCCCAGCTGTTCGGGAGGCTGAGGGAGGATCGCTTGAGCCCAAAAGGTTGAGACTGCAGCAAGCCATGATTGCCCCGCTGCACTTCAGCCTGGGCAGCAGAGTAAGACCCTGTCTCAAAAAATAAAAGTAAAAAGAATACAACATGAGAGTAGCAAGTCATTTCGCTTTTGTAGAACCCTTGTTGGCTGCCCAGAATCTCAGCATTTCACTTTTGTTGAATCTGTTATAATCAATAGAGAACATTTTTTGTGGAAAGTACATGCTACAGAATATCCATAAACATCAAGAGTCACACAGGTCTTGAATCCCTTATAAATATCCTGTTCTAGATACACCCTGGTGCTACAGAAGCCAGAGAGGAATTGTAATTGAGTAAGTCAGGTTCTTTGTCATGAGCTGGAGAGCACGTGGCAGTCTAAAAAGGGCAGCTGTATAAAATGGAGCTCTAGCTATATCCCTTTATTATAATATAAAGCACAGGTACTGAAAACCATATAAAACAAAGTATGGCTTAATAAGTTTTTATAAGGCAAATACCCTTTTAACCACCACCCAAGTCAGGAAATTTGACATTGCCAGCCACCTCAAAAGCACCTTCATGTTCTTCATCCCAATGTCAATACCCTCCTCTCCTAAAAGTAACTACTCTCCTAAGTTTTACAGTAATCGTCTAGGATTGCGTGGCTCCATTTCTAGATACTATAGTTTAGTGGGGTTTTTTATTTTAAAAGTTTGGTATATCCTTTTTTGTTTTAGTTTGTTTATTTGAGACAGAGTCTCACTGTGTCGCTCAGGCCAGAGTGCAGTGGCACCATCTTGGCTCACTGCAGCTTCCACCTCCCAGGTTTAAATGATCCTCCTGCCTTACCTGCCCCACCTCCCCCCCTCCCCACCAAGTAGCTGGGACTACGGGCACCACCACACCCTGATAATTTTTATATTTTTGTAGAGGTGGGGTTTTGCCACGTTGCCCAGGCTATTCTCAAACTCATGGACTCAAGCAGCCTTCCTGCCTCAGCCTCCCAAAGAGCTGTGATTACATGTAGATGTGAGCCACCATGCCCAGCCTGATATTTAAGTCTTTTTAAATCTATACATTTCTCCTCCATTACATCCTTTTTTTAACAGTCTTATTGTTGAAGCCCCATAAGCATTTGACATATAGTCTCCTATCCCACAGTCTGGGTATTGCTGATGGCACACTCATGGTGTAATTCAGCATGTTCCTTTGCCCTCTATTTCCTGCAAATTGACTGCTAGATTCAGAGGTTTAATCAGATTCCTGCTCCATCACTGCTTTTAAAAATTTTCTTGTTAAACTGGAATTACAGATTTTGGGGGGGATTTTTTTTTTTGAAACAAGATCTCACTCTGTTGCACAGGCTGGAATGCAGTGGCACAATCTCAGCTTACTATAGCCTCCACCTCCTGGGTTCAAGCAATTCTTGTGCCTCATCATCATGAGTAGCTGGGATTATAGGCGTGTATCACTACGCCTGGGTGATTTTTGTATTAGTAGATACAGAGTCTCACCATGTTGGCCAGGCTAGTCTCAAACTCCTGAGCTCAAGTGATCCGCCTGCCTCAACCTCCCAAAGTGCTGGGATTGCAGACGTACACCATTGCGTCCAGCCTGAAATTACAGATTTTTATGGGAAATCTTCCAGTTCTCAAATGATCACAATGAATTCACATTCCTTCAAGGTAACATATCCATCAAATGAAAGTTTGCAACCACTGGCTAAAATAAAACTCTTCTTATAGAAAAGAGCTGTTTCCTCCATACATTTTTGGCATTATGTTTTGCTTGAAAAATACTTCAAAGTATGCAACTTCCCATTCATGTGTTTTGTTTCATATCTGAAAGAGGTGGTGGAGGAAGACAATTCTAAAAAGTATCAGTGTAAATTAAGTTTCAATTTAGTGAAATCAATGTTGGCTTTGCTATGGAAAAAGCTGTGAATTTTCAGTGTATACTTTTAAAATATGTATATGTTTTCTTTCAAAAATATAACATTTTGTTATTGTTAATAATTTAAACATTATGGAAATTTATGATGTAAATCCGCATACGCTTCCAGTTCCCACATCCCAAGCTATTTACACACTGGAAATAGCTACTTATATTTGGTAATGTATGTTAAATTTACATCATATATTTTCTGTGTATTTATTAATGTATGTTAATAAATTTGGTAATGTATGTTAAATTTACATCATATATTTTCTGTGTATTTATTAATGTATTTTTTTTTTAATGAGACTCCACTGTTCTAGAAGTTTTTTTTAATATTTTGGTAATATAACTTGGACATCTTTTCATGTCAATTGTATATGTGTGTGTGTTTCTTTTTTAAGTTTCCTCCTTATGCAACTAATGAAATTGGCAAAGTCACCGGTTTAAATAGAAGAGAACTTGGGCATGGTAAGTACAGATCTGTAAACTTACATGGTATTCTTACAGAGACTTAGTACTTTTTTTTTTTTTTTTGCCCCACCACCCGACTTAGTACATTTTTTACTTATTGTCTCCTTTTCTACTTTAGGTGCTCTTGCTGAGAAAGCTTTGTATCCTGTTATTCCCAAAGATTTTCCTTTCACCATAAGAGTTACATCTGAAGTCCTAGAGTCAAATGGTATGGTACTGAAATACTACTTTCATAGTAAAGACCAAATTCCCTATTCTGTTATTAAGTTTTCAAATGTAATGTTACATTATGTTTATTATCTGTTATAATAGATCCAGTTTGGCTTATTTATTTTTACAAATAAATTAAAAAATTTACAAATATTTTTCTTTATCTATTATAATAGATCCAGTTTGGCTTGTTTATTTTATTTCTAACCACAGAACAAGGTTAGCAGAAGAGGAAGGGCCAAAATAAAGTGATCATTAGGCAGGGGATACCTGTCACATATCCACATGAATAATAAGTGAACATCACAGATGGATTCTAGGCTAAAAGGTCACATTTAAATAAAAATTTCAGGCCAGGCGTGGTGGCTCATGCCTGTAATCCCAGCACTTTGGGAGGCCAAGGCAGGTGGATCATGAGGTCAGGAGATAGAGACCATCCTGGCTAAAATGGTGAAACCCCCGTCTCTACTGAAAATACAAAAAATTTAGCTGGGCGTGGTGGCACATGCCTGTAGTCCTGGCTACTCAGGAGGCTGAAGCAGAAGAATCACTTGGACCCAGGAGATGGAGGTTACAGTGAGCCGAGATTGTGCCACTGCACTCCAGCCTGAGTGACAGAGCGAAACTCCATCTCAAAAAAAAGAATCTTTGTAGCAATACTGTGCAATAGAACTTTTCATGATGGGTTGGGTGCAGTGGCTCATGCCTATAATCCCAGCACTTTGGGAGGCCAAGGCAGGTGGATCACGAAGTCAGGAGATTGAGACCATCCTGGTTAACATGGTGAAACCCTGTCTCTACTAAAAATACAAAAAAATAGCTGGGCATGGCTGTGGGCGCCTGTAGTCCCAGCTACTCAGGAAGCCAAGGCAGGAGAATCACTTGAACTCGGGAGATGGAGGTTGCAGTTAGCAAAGATTGTGCCACTGTACTCCAGCCTGGGTGACAAAGCGAGACTCTATCTTGGGGGGGGGACCTTCTTGTGATGATAGAAATCCTCTTTATCTGTGCTGTCCAGTTGAGGAATTGAATTTATTTTAATTGATTTAACTTTTAAGTAGCCACTTGTGGCTAATAGCCCGGCTACCATATTGGATCATGCAGCCCCATAGTTTATAGCTTAGGAGAGTTTGCCTTAGGTGCTTTTAATAAGAAGGAAGAAGAGACTATTGAATATTTGTATTGTAATTGAATATTTATAAGGAAATAACCGATAACATTTTCTACATTTAAAAAATCAGTGTAGTATAAAGCAGCTGTTTTTCTTTCTGTAGGGTCATCTTCTATGGCATCTGCATGTGGTGGAAGTTTAGCATTAATGGATTCAGGTAAAAGAATTATGTCTCAAAACTGCTAATATTGCTCATGCCTATAGTCCCAGCACTTTGGGAGGCCAAGGCAAGAGAGGCTCACTTGAGGCCAAGAGTTCAAGACAAGCCTGAGCAGCATAGCAAAACCCCATCTCTACCAAAAAAATTAAAAAAAAAAAAAAAAAAGCTAGCCTTTTATATACACCTGTTACTATAAAACATAAGATTTCTTTTAAATTGGATTTTAGTAAAACTCAAAGTCAGATTACAGTTGACCAAATCAAGCCAGAGACAAAATGGTTGAAAAGTAGAGCTTCAGATAGCCAGATAACTGCTGGAATTCTTATTTTTAGCTAAAAGCAGTACACTGAAAAACTTTTATTTGTATTGGTGACCTAGTAAACTTTATTTCCTTCCAAAAGGTAGAGAGCTCCAGAATTGATTCCAATCACCAAGGAAGTTTTGATTAGTAAGTACTATTAGGACTCATAAGAGAAAGCAACTGTAATCTTTCAGTTGATTTATACAAGCCAAGAGAACAGTGCCACTCAGGCATGTACACAGAATTTTAGGAAGGCAGACTACAAATGGTTCATTATAATCCCCGGGTCTAAAACAGCAAACAGGAAAGCATTATCATGCTAGGGGATTCTTAAAACCAATTTGTGCCAAACCATCATCAGTGGTGCTATTCAAGAAGAAAGAGATTCCTTCTCTCTCTTCTTGAATAGCATCAGTGGTGCTATTGCAGAAGAAAGAGAGAAGGAATCTCTTTCGTCTTGAATAGCACCACTGATGCTATTCAAGAAGTTAGTAAAGTGTCTTTACTTGTTAGTAAAGATACTAACAAGGCCACAGAAGGAGTTCTCTGATAAGTTCACACATTTACAGTACTAGCATGAAAGACAGAAAGGAGGACCATAACAAAGGATGAAATAAAAAATGGTGTGAGGCTGGGCAAGGTGGCTCACGCCTGCGATACCAGCACTTTGGGAGGCCGAGGTGGGCGGATCACAAGATCAGGAGATCGAGACCATCCTGCCAACATAGTGAAACCCCATCTCTATTAAAAAAAAAATTGGTGTGAATATGTAATAATATTATCTAGAAAAATTTAAAAACAGGCCAAACCAAAAAATGTTAAGGGTACTTTTCTAATTTATTCAATGGAGGAAAACATAATCTGATATTTGAGGCAGCTGGTAAAATACTGCTGCTACTATTTTCATCTTAATTCTTTCACTCTACAAATCTTTACTCTGTGGCACCTATGTGCCAAACAGTGATCTAAGTTCTTAGGACATGGTGATGAACAAAACAGCCCTTGTCTTCATGGCACTTCTGTTTCTCAGCCTTCTAAATCTCATATTGGAAAACACTGAACAAATCCTGAAAAAGGTGAACTGAAAAATAAAAGACGACATCATAGGAGAGTCTTTACTTGCCATTTTTTAATGAATTCATATCTTTTAGTCTAGACAAAAACTCATCCTTGATTATAATGAGAACTTCAGGATTAGATTACTGAAATATAATGGCAGTCATTGAGAAATCATGGAGACTGGTATCCCAAGGATGGAAAATAGTCTTATTATTGGAAGAGAAGAAAAGTGTTTTCTATAAAGTATAACCCAGTGAACTTGACAGTGACCCTCAACAAGACTTTTAAGAACTTATAAAAATAATGGTTTATAAGTAGCTTAGAAAGGAAAGGGGCCACCGCACTGGTGGCTCGCACCTGTAATCCCAGCACTTTGGGAGGCCGAGGCAGGTCGATCACTTGAGGTCAGGAGTTTGAGACCTGCCTGGCCAACATACTGAAACCCTGTCTCTACTAAAAATACAAAAATTAGCTGGGCATGGTGGTGGGCACCTGTAATCCCAGGTACTCAGGAGGCTGAGGCAGGAGAATCGCTTGAACCCACGAGGCAGAGGTTGCGGTAAGCAGAGATCGCGTCACTGCACCCCAGCCTAGGAAACAGTGACTCTGTCTCAAAGAAAAGGGACTAGAGAGAGAAGCCAGAAGACACTCCTCCAAAATAAGTCATGCCATTGTTAATTCACTTTCTGTTTTTGAAGAAATTACTAGACTTGCAGTAGAAGGTGTTACTGTTGGTTTGAGGTATGTATAAATCAGCTGTACGTTTATGATATCTTGTGTAAATGATGCAGAAATTTAGACTAGATAAGAGGTGCACCAATCATACTGATTAAGGGATGAGCAAAGGGACTGTTTAATCTGATCAGCAGGTCAGAGGAGGATCTCAAGTTGAAGACTTGAGGATGCTTATTTCAGCCCTGTCTCTTTCAGTGTTGACTAGACTGAGAACACTGGCCTGCCAATAAAAAGGATATTGATTAAAAGGAATGAGTGACTGATTTGTTAAATGACAAAATTGAACAGGATAAAAAAAAATGGAGCTTATTAGTTTAAATTTGAAGAGTCAAAAACCCAAAAAAAGTTAAATTTTATAAGAATGAATGTCAAATCCTGTGGGATGGTCCAATACAGGTATACAGTTCAATTCAAAAATGAGTGCTTTTCCTGCCCTAAGTGAGGCACTGTGCTATGCTCCAGGGATACAAATTGTACCCAGTTTTTGAAAAAGCTTAAAGATTTGAAAACAAGCAAAAAGATACCAATAGATCAAAGAAGTAGTAATACAAATATGTATGAGGAATACAAGGTGATTGATGAACTAGGCTGAGCATAACTGGCTGAGAGAGACTACATTTCATCTGGTTTTAAAGGCTGAGTAGTTGTTGACTAGGCATATTAGGAGCAAGGCCTATATTTCACATGAAATGACCAGCATGTGCTAACTTAAGAAGTTATGAAACAGTGTAGTATGTTTCAGGAATATACTCGAAGAGGTGTTAAGGTAATAAACTAGAACCAGATGTTGAAGGTCTTTGTTATGCTAAGGAGTTTGGACTTAAAGCCAGAATTTTTCCAATTCAGTATTCCATGGAATAGTGTTCCACAGGACATTGATTACTGTATGCCATGAAAAAAATTGTTTTGTTTTAAAGTAAGTTTCAGCAGGGGTAAGCAGGTTTATTTAATGTGGGTTAAATAGACTTTAATAAGCTAATTGGAATACTGACTCTCTAGGAATAGGACATGTAATATTTTTCCAAATTTATTTGACCACAGAATATGTATAAAAATTTCCTGAAAGCAGGCAATGGAGAACTTGGAGGATTTTATGAAAAACAGTGGCATAATTTGAATCTGCTTTTGTTTTTTCCAAACAGTTTTTCCCAGCTTAAGTGATGAATGGCCCTGGGGAATGAGATGAGAGAGACTAAGAAGTAAAGAGGAACTAAAATCTGGGAAGCCATACAGGGAGATTGTTACTAGGGCAGGAAATGATGTGGACTCAGACTAAAAAGTAGCAATAGGTATTTTAATATTGAGGGTAAAGGATAGCTTTCTAAAAAATAAACAGATCTTTGTGATTTGATGGGATATAGAAATGAGGAAAGAAATGATGATTCTGGCATGTGTGTCTTAGTTGGTTTCAACCAAAGAATGCAGGAGGAAAAGGATTTTTTGAAAGTGGTTCAATTTTGAACATATGTATATTTCTTTTGTTACCATTATTATTATTTATAGAGATAAAGTCTCACTATGTTGCCCAGGCTGGTCTCAAATTCCTGAGTTAGATCCTCCCATCTCTGCCTGCCAAAGCATTGGAATTACAGGCGTGAGCCACCAGGTCTGGCTCAATTTGGAATACATTTTTAAGGTGCTTTGGGGACATGAAGCCAGAGATGTCTGACAAGCAGTTTACTTACACACGTCCAGGCTTTGGTACAGAGAGCTGGACAGAATGGATAGATTTTTAAGTCATCAACATTATAGACAGTGGTTGAAACCATGAGTATAGATAAGATTGCTTAGAGAAAATGAAATGAAATCCATACTCCTTTTTATCAAAGTAAATTCCAAGTGATCAAAACTTAAACATTTTTAAACAAATGAAAGATGGTTAAGTTTTATCAAAATCCTGGAGAAGAAAAGCTCTGCTAAGCAAAACCCAGGAACCATGATTGTGTAAACTAAAAATTCTACACGGAAAACTAATCACCATAAGCAAAGTCAACAAACTAGGAAATAAAATATTTTATATTTATATGTTATAAAGCATATTATCTTTATATTTTAATAAAGATCTATCCATACTGAAAGAAAATCAATAATAAAAAGACTGCCAACCAAGTAGAAAAATGGTTGAAGGCCATGAACAGGGAGTTCTCAAAATAAGACATATTAATATGTTTATGAACATGAAAAAGTTTTCAACCTCAATCATAAAAAACAGATCAGATTTAAAATAATCAACCATTTTTTACCTTTTAAATTGAGAAAAATCAAAAGATTTGACAAGAAATAACAAGAATATAGGATAGCATGTACCTTCTTATACTAGTAGTAAAAGTTTAAAATTCTATGTCTTTAGAAGGCAATTTGACAGTGTAACAAATGTAAATGCACATGCATTTTGACTCAGCAGTCACTTTTCTGTGTGTGACTTAAAAAACATATAGGGAGTACTATGCTGCCATTCAAAGGAATAAAGTAGAGCTTTGTGTGGTGGTATGTGTCAATATCCAAGACACGTTATGAAGTGGAAAAAGGCAAGGTGCAGAACAGTAAATGCATACAGTATGCTCCCATGAGTAAAGAAAACAAAAGATTATATTTACATTTATGCTTGTGCACAGAAATTTTCTAGGAGGATACACTAATGGTAGCTGCCATGGGGAGGTAAACTGAGGGGTTCAGGCTGGAAGAATTTACCAAATAGATGCTTACTTTCCAACAAAAAGAATAAGACATCAGAAGCAAAAGAGCAAAGCAATGGATAATTTAAGAGTTACAAAGTTTGCTATTATTAGAGGAGTTTTTTGCTGGATATGGTACTTGTTTACATTGTTTAGGGAACTTCATTATATGTTCAAAAACAAATGAAGTAGTCAAATGACCTCTTAAGACTTTTCCAACTCAGCTTTGGTGATTGTCAATTTAGACAACAGTATCACTTACATTAAAAATAAATGTCAGCTGGGCGCGGTGGCTCTTGCCTGTAATCCCAACACTTCCGGAGGCCAAAGCTAGTGGATCACCTGAGGTCAGGAGTTCAAGACCAGCATGGCCAACATGGTGAAACCCCCCTCTCTACTAAAAGTACAAAAAAAAATAGCCAGGCATGGTAGCAGGTGCCTATATTCCCAGCTATTCAAGAAGCTGAGGTGGGAGGATCTCTTGAACCCAGGAGGCAGAGGCTACAGTGAGCCAAGATTATGCCACTGCACTCCAGCCTGGGCAACAGAGTGAGACTCCCTCTCAAAAAAAAAAAAAAAAGTTAATAGATAAATATGTGTTTTAAGCTGATGTACATATTACCCATAAAAGTTCTTTTTCCCAATTATAGGGGTTCCAATTTCATCTGCTGTCGCAGGCGTAGCAATAGGATTGGTCACCAAAACCGATCCTGAGAAGGGTGAAATAGATGATTATCGTCTGCTGACAGATATTCTGGCAAGTATATTCCCGGTTTTAAATATTTAATGAAGAATAAATATAAATTAAAAGATAAAAGCAAATCAAATAATGGTGAAGACTATATGTACTTTGGACATAGCATATTCTTAGAAGAAAGCTAGTATCTGAAGAGCAGGCACTTGTTCTTCTCTTCCTCCTCTGCAGGTTCATCTTGGCTCTTAAAGGATGTGAGTTTAAAATAGATATTATATTAATAGTAATAGACGAGGCACAGTTGGTTATACCTGTAATCCCAGCATTTTGGGAAGCTGAGGTGCATGGATCACTTGGGGTCAGGAGATCAAGACCAGCCTGGCTAATGAGGCAAAACCCCATCTCTACTAAAAATACAAAAATTAGCCGGGCGTGTAATCCCAGCTACTCGAGAGGCTGAGGCAGAACTGCTTGAACCCAGGAGGCAGAAGTTACAGTGGGCCGATGCTGCGCCACTGCACTCCAGCCTAGGCAAGAGAGCAAGACTTTGTCTCTAAATAAATAAATAAAATGATTACTTTAAACAATAGTAATACTTACACTTAAGTATTACAGTAGTACAGTGTAAGTTTTCATAATGGCTCACTTTAGGATGATCATAAATTTATCCATATGCATTAATGAGGCAAAGAAATGATCTAAAAATGATGTTTCTGGTGAAAATAATTGTAGCTTAAAAAGTCACAAATTGGAAGCAATAGTTAATGTAAAAAACATTGCTGTGTGTTTTGTCTTAGAGGATATGGTTTATTTCTAAAACTTTTTTTTTGAAATGTTTCTATAGCAAATATGTTGATTTTGGTTTTGTTTAAAACTGCGTCATAACTTTTTTAATTCCTGAAGGGAATTGAAGATTACAATGGTGACATGGACTTCAAAATGGCTGGCACTAATAAAGGAATAACTGCATTACAGGTATTTTAAAACTCATTTTGTTTCATTTTTGTAACATTTAAACAATGCCATGAGTCAATATTTATATAATTCTCTATCTTAGGCTGATATTAAATTACCTGGAATACCAGTAAAAATTGCAATGGAGGCTATTCAACAAGCTTCAGGTGAGCCAGTGTATTTGATTCTCCTTTAATTCTGTTCCAGTTTGCTAATGGGAACTATAGTTCTCATTATGCTTATTATAAAACATTGCTTTAAAAAGTGGAATTTCAAATGACTTAACTCAGATGAAGTACTGGCCAGGTGCGATGGCTGACGTCTTTAATCCCAGCACTTTGGGAGGCCGAGGTGGGTGGATCACTTGAGGTCAGGAGTTCTAGACCAGCCTAGCCAACATGGTGAAACCCTGTCTCTACTAAAAATACAAAAATTAACCAGGCATTGTGGCACATGCCTATAATCCCAGCTACTCAGGAAGCTGAGACAGAGAATCACTTGAGCCCAGGAGGCAGAGGTTGCAGTTAGCTGAGATCATGCCACTGCACTCCAGCCTGGGTGACACAGGGAAACTATCTCAAAAAACGGAAGTACTAAGTAGCCAGGCATGGCATGGTGGCTCATCCTAGCACTTTAGGAGGTCAAGGCAGGAGGACTGCTTGAGCCCCAGGAGTTTAAGACCAGTCTGGGCAACACAGACCCCATATCTATTTTTAAAAAAAAAACAAAGAACTAAGTTTTGGAGGCACATGAATAAACATCAAAGTCGGTTACCAGTGAAATTTCAATTTTTGCAAATAAGGCAACTCTCTTTAAGATAGGATTTATGGAGAAAAGAATATGAGTGAATTTTCAAGGTAATTAGGATGTGGAGAGCTTCAATTATTTACATCATAAAAACTAAGAGTGCAGCTATTTCAGATCATATTTAGGTAGTTACAACTTTTATTGTGTTTTTATCTCTTCTAGTGGCAAAAAAGGAGATATTACAGATCATGAACAAAACTATTTCAAAACCTCGAGCATCTAGAAAAGAAAATGGACCTATTGTAGGTAATACATTAAAATTTTAGTGATCATTGTAAGAAACACTAACATATGAACGAATATTACTGTTTTTAAACTGTTTTTACCCAACACACAAAATAAAAATATTTTAAATACTTTTGTAGCTAAAATGCTTTAAATTTTAGGGGATATTCTTTAACACTTTTCAGTAATTTTAATCATCTACTTTTCTGTTTTATAGTAAAATACATGTGTCTAGGTTTAAAAAAAAAAAAAAAAAAGTGACCATGACATGTTTTTAGGTTCATGTAATCTATTTGAATTGTTTACATATTTGTCTGTATTATATTCCAGAAACTGTTCAGGTTCCATTGTCAAAACGAGCCAAATTTGTTGGACCAGGTGGATATAACTTAAAAAAACTTCAGGCTGAAGCAGGTAAGAGTTGTATGAAGTTTGGGGTTTTTTAATTCAATGCTAGACCATATCAGGATTTTTTTTTTGTAACATTTTATAGTTGACTATCTAGAATAATTTTTAATTTTTAACTTTAAAGGAATTATTACTTAGTTATTTCTTGTTATTCTGCTTTCACTTAATTTTATTTATACTCTTTTATTTAAAGAGTATACACAATTTATTTTTCCTGAAGCAATGTTTGAATTACCTAGTACTTCAAGGTTTGAGGTTATTGCAAGAGAGTGAGAAGCAGAGTCACCTTAGCCATTTGCTAAGATTGAGAAACTGATGTGATTTTGTCCATTATTCATTTATTTACCCTTCTAAAGAGTAAGCAGGAGAAAGAAAAATGGTGAGGAAAGTGTTCTATTATAGCTTTTACTTGCAATTAAGAGAGAAGAACCAGACTCTCCAAAATTTGTATTGGTATATTTGATTCCACCAGGTGGTGAGCTTCAATAAATCAAGCATATTGGCTCACCACTGTATCCCCAGGGCCTACCTAGTATCACTGGAATGAGCAACTGTTTTGTTTTTTTTTCTTCCTCTGTCATCCAGTTTGGAGTGCAGTGTACAATCACCATTCACTGCAGCCTTGACCCCTGTGCTCAAGTGATCCTTTGGACTCTGATGCCCAAGTAGTTGGGCACATGCTACTGGGCCCAACTAATTTTTTAATTTATTTCTTGTAGTAACAGGCTCTCCCTGTGTTGCCCCGGCTGGTCTTGAACTCCTCAGATCAACTGATCCTCCCACCTCAGCCTCCCAGAATGCTGAGATTCCAAATGTGACCCACCATGCCCAGCCAAGTTAACTTTAATATGTTAAATTATGTTTTTAAAAGGTGTAACTGTTAGTCAGGTGGATGAAGAAACGTTTTCTGTATTTGCACCAACACCTAGTGCTATGCATGAGGCAAGAGACTTCATTACTGAAATCTGCAAGGATGATGTAAGTATAGATCATATTACATATCATATAGATATATTTGTTTTGTCTACTTTTTGTTGATGTTTTCTTTATGAATCTCATGGCTTATTTTGCACTTACAGCAGGAGCAGCAGTTAGAATTTGGAGCAGTTTATACTGCCACAATAACTGAAATCAGGTAATATCAAGTAATATTCTATGCTGAGCTTTTTCCTTTATTTTTTTATGCCACAGTGGGATGCAGTGGTGCCATCATACCTCTTAGCAGCCTCAAACACTTAGGATCAAGCAATTCTCCCACCTCAGCCTCCTAAGTATTTAGGACCACAAGCACACACCACCACACCTTGCTGACTTTTTAATTTTTTGTAAAGACAGGGTCTCACTATGTTACCCAGATTGGTCTTAAGCCCCTGGCCTTAAGTGATCCTCCCACCTCAGCCTCCTAAAGTACCAGGATTACAAGCATGAGCCACCATGCTCAGCCTTGTGTTGGTTTTTAACAGATTTCTATTACAATCCCAATTTAATTTCACATTTACTTTATTTACTTTGAAATCATAAGGTGTTTAGATTACATATGTCAATTGCCATATAATCATTACTTTTTAAGGTATAGTATATTTTCTATGTCATTTTGTAGAATTTTAGTAGCATAGTTGTGTGGTTCTAATTATAATACATTCTTCTAACTGAATTCTTTTTCTTTTTTTTTTTTTTTTGAGACAGAGTCTCACTCTGTTGCCCAGGCTGGAGTACAGTAGCATGATCTCAGCTCACTGCAACCTATGCCTCCTGGGTTCAAGCAATTCTTCTGCCTCAGCCTTCCGAGTAGCTGGGACTATAGGTGGGCGCCACCATGCCCAGCTGATTTTTGCATTTTTAGTAGAGATGGGGTTTCACCATATTGGCCAAGCTGGTCTCGAACTCCTGACCTTTTGATCCGCCCACCTTGGCCTCCTTTCAAAGTGCTGGGATTACAGGCGTTAGCCACCACACCCAGTCTGAATTCTTTAACCAATTTTTCCACCATTTTAATTTTACCAGTAAATATTAAATAGGCCCAAAATAGACCTAGCAATATTTCGTTTTTCCTTTTTTTTTCTTTTGATGGCTTGTTTTAAACATAGTCTGAATGCTTAATTGGCACATATTTTTAAATGCCAATGTTAATCTCAAAGTATTTTTTTTTTTTTTTTACCAGCTAAAAGAGATTGCATTTTCAGGATCAGAAAATCCCGTTTTTAAGAAAAAAGAAATTATCAAGCATAGCAAAAATGTTCAGAGCTATTTGAAACAAAAAAGGGCAATGAGATAATTTATTTACTATTGCAGGTGAAAAATAAGAAATGGTATGGGTTATTTTTGTAGACTAGAGAAAAAAGGGAAGATTAGTTTTTTTAGTGAAATAAGTATCCCATTTTACCTGACCACCCCTTAAATCCCCACCTTACAGGTTAATGCTATGATATTTTGCACTATTTAAAAAATATTTATGTCATTTCAGAAATTTTTTGGAAAATTGAGACCAGCCTGCCAACATGGTGAAACATCATCTCCACTAAAAATACAAAAATTAGCTGGGCATGGTAGCATATGCCTGTAATCCCAGCTACTTGGGAGGCTGACACATGAGAATGGCTTGAACTTGGGAGGTTGAAGTTGCAGTGAGCCCAGATGGCACCACTGCACTCCAGCCTGGGCAACTGAAAAAAAAAAAAAAATGTTTTTCGACAGAAGAATACAGAAGAATATATAGTCTAAAAGCTTTTTTACTGCATATTTTTTATCTTTTCTTCACTTTGATTCACACATATTTATAGGGTATATTTTCAGTTGAAAAGTATACTTTTTATAGTTCTAAAAACATAAAAGAATGGATTTCTTTTCTACTTGTTCCTTCTGTGAAAACATAATCAGTTTTATTTGTCAATGGATATACGGATACTTATTGTTTTAACCAGGCTTCTTATTTCTTTTTTGTAGAGATACTGGTGTCATGGTAAAATTATATCCAAATATGACTGCAGTACTGCTTCATAACACACAACTTGATCAACGAAAGGTAAAAGGACAGATGTTATTATTTTTATAACTCTCTTAAAACTACCCTTTTGAAATCACCTAGGTTGATAAGAATTATACACTTTGCCTACTACTAGCTAGACACAGAAAACAAAAGTGGCAGAGATGCTGCTGGCAAAAGTTTTACAATGTTTAACATACATATTTGTTTTTTTAGACTTTTTTTCCAGCATAAAGAAAAATTGGCCAGGCGTGGTAATTCACGCCTGTAATCCCAGCACTTTGGGAGGTTAAGGCAGGTGGATCACGAGGTCAGGAGTTCAAGACCAGCCTGGCCAAGATGATGAAATCCCGTCTCTACTAAAAATACAAAAATTAGCCAGGCATGGTAGTGGGTGCCTGTAATCCCAGCTACTCAGGAGGCTGAGGCAGAGAATTGCTTGAACCCGGGCGGTGGAGGTTGCAGTGAGTTGAGATCACACCACTGCACTCCAGCCTAGGCAACAGAGCAAGACTTTATGTCAAAAAAAAGAAAAAAATGTATATTTTTCTTTCCATGATGGAATAGAAACACTGACTGTTTTGAAGCAGAACATCTAGAGGAGCAGTTACTAAAAACACCTACCTATAGCTCTGTTTCCCCAATTTTCTACTAACCAATCAATTATGGCAAGATAATTGTTGGGATATTTTTAAATTTAATCTTTGTTGTAATTCATACATCCAGAAAATCTCTAAGACAACTATAGAAAACAATGGGGTCAGGGGAGTAATAAGAGTGTCTGTTTTACCATATATTAAAATATACTATAAAGCCATAGACAACAAAACAGTATATTACTGGCCCAGAAATAGATAATCCATGCAACAAGAAAACAAAGACCAGAAATAGTATACATGGGATTATAATATATGCTAGAAGTTGTATTATAGTCAGTGATAAAGATTACTTAATAAATTATATTGGTACTGTTGGTTATCTTAAAACAGGATCTCTGCATTGGGACTGAATTATTTTCTGTGTGCAAAAAAAAAAAAATCAGGATCTCTACTCATTTTTATACCAAAATCCTGGCTGGATCAAAGAGCTAAATGTGTTTTTTTTTTTAAAGGTGGTGGAAAAAGATAATTTTGTTGGGGCAGGTGGGTTTACTAGAAGAAAATAGGATGTTTTAATAAGATTAGTACTGGAGAACTCCTTCTCAGCATTATATCAAAGCCAAAAAAGTAAATAAATTCATAAAATTTGACCCCATAATTTCTTTTTAATTATATGACAAAAATTGCAATAAGGTTAAGAGATAATCAGCAACCTAAAGAAAAAATGCTTATAACATATGACAGAAGCTTAATTACAAAGAGCTTTTATAGATCAGTAAGAATGATGAGTATCAACAGAAAAATAAGTAAAGAACATGAACAAATTATTTTTATAAGAAGCCAACCAAGATATTTAATATCCACGGCAATTTTTTAAAATGCAAATGAAGGCTGGGTGCAGTGGCTCACACCTATAGTCCTAGCACTTTGGGAGGCTGAGGCGGGCAGATCACAAGGTCAGGAGATGAAGACCATTCTGGCTAACATAGTGAGATCCCATCTCTACTAAAAATACAAAAAATTAGCTGGGCGTGGTGGCACGCACCTGTAGTCCCAGCTACTCAGGAGGCTGAGGCAGGAGAATCGCTTGAACCCAGGAGAAAGCTTGCAGTGAGCAGAGATCATGCCACTGCACTCCAGCCTGGCTGACAGAGCAAGACTCTGTCTCAAAAAAATATATACATACAAGAAGCACAGAGGTTCCTTTTTTATAAATACAGTACACATACACTAAATAGACATCTCAAGGGATACTCATTGGCATGTTAGCAGTAGTTACTTAAAACTTGAGGGGTTTTTGAGACATGGTCTTTCTCTGTCACCCAGGCTGGAGTATAGTGGCACAGTCACAGCTCACTGCAGCCTCAGCCTCCTAGGCTCAAGTGATTCTCCCATCTTACCCTCTGGAGAAGCTGGGACCACAGGCACAAGCCACCATAGCTAGCTGATTTTTTTGTAGAGATGAGGTTTCTTTATGTTGCTCAGGATTGTCTCAAACTCCTGAGCTCAAGCAGCCTTTCCACCTTGGCCTCTCAAAGTTCTGAGACTACAGATGTGAGCCACTATACCTGGCATGTTTTGTCACCCAGGTTGGAGTGCAATGGCGTGATCTCAGCTCACTGCAACCTTCGCCTCCCAGGTTCAAGCAATTCTTCTGCCTCAGCCTCTCAAGTGGCTGGGACTATAGGCGCTCACCACCACACCTAGCTAACTTCTGTATTTTTAGTAGAGACAGAGTTTCATCATATTGGCCAGGCTGGTCTCGAACTCCTGACCTCATGATCCATCCACCTTGGCCTCCCAAAGTGCTGGGATTACCGGTGTGAGCCACTGCACCCAGCTGGATGACGATGATGATTATTTTTTTGAGACAAGTCTCACTCTGTCGCCCAGGCTGGAGTGCAGTGGTGCGATGTCAGCTCCCTGCAACCTCTGCCTCCCAGATTCAAGCGATTCTCCTGCCTCAGCCTCTCGAGTAGCTGGGACTCCAGGCATGCGCCACCACATCCAGCTAATTTTTGTATTTTCAGTAAAGGTGGTGTTTCACCACTTGGTCAGGCTGAAACTCCTAAGCTCAAGTGATCTGCCCACCTTGGCCTCCTAAAGTGCTGGGATTACAGCCATGAGCCACCATGCCCGGCCAACTGATTTTTTAAATTAGAAAAACAAACAAAGCTTGGGAAAAAAATGTGTACTTCCATGGACACTAGGTAATTATGCACAACAACTAATAGATTAACATGGTTTCTTTCAGATTAAACATCCTACTGCCCTAGGATTAGAAGTTGGCCAAGAAATTCAGGTACTTGTTTTCCACCTATTAGCCTTAAATTTGTAAATTGTTCTTGAAGCTTCCATTATTTTTTTCAAAAAGTTGAAAGAGTCACCATCTATGATGTTTATTATTTATATGCAGTACTTCATTTTTAATCTTAGAAGTCCTTAAACAGACTCATTAAGGATTGAAGACACAATTCTTTCCCTCAAGGACGTTACAGCTTGGCCGAAATGGTAGTCCCCTTTAGTGGATTTAAAACATACATGAGCATGTCAGTGTTAGCTATGCAGATTCCATGATTTGGAAACTGACATAAGAACTCTGATAAGGTAACTTGTTGAAATTCTTGAATGTCATCTTTGAGGAGGCGAGACTTTGTCTCTCCACTACTTAAAGCTAAAAGTTTTTGAGTTTGGTAAGAGCCATGTTATTCAGGCCTAGAATTCATGTAACAAAATAGGCCCTTTCTTTGTAGTCCTTTATGAGTGGATGAAAGAAGTCAATGCCAGGCTGGTTTTTTTGGCTTCTCCACGTTCTCTTTCACTTATGCCTAATACTCATGACCTGAGAAACTAAGGCTTCTAGTTTATTCCCAATCTGTAGTCTTACTGTCCCAGTAGACTCCAGAGGGAGATGAGTGCTAAGACATAATATCTCTGTATGAGGTTGATTTTTTGGTTTCTTTGTTGTTGTTTTCACATCAGAAGGAACTTTAAACCTTTCGCATTTCCCCGACTTTTGCTTTCCAAGGTGAAGCCAAATAAACACTAATGTGATAGTCCTTTGAGCAGCAGTGAAAATCCAAGTGACCCAAGCATAATCCTGTATAGTTTATAACACAATCAGGCTCACAAATCCTTGTCTAGAATCATTCACTGTGTCTGTGACTGTTCCCCCAGTATAAGGACTTGGCCTGGTGAGAATAAAAAGGCACAAATGTGTATAGCAGCAGATTATAGTTGAACAACTAACTGCCCCCGTCTCTAATTTTTTTTATAATGACTACTTATATATATTAAGTGTATACCTCCACTTAGCACTGAACTGTGCTTTCAGTGAACAAGTAAAAACAACGATTGCCTTATTGGGACCATGTAAATTTAAATGTCTATTAATTGAGATGTCACTCAATGTGCTGTAACGTTAAAGGGAGATCTGTTCTTTAACACAGGTGAAATACTTTGGACGTGACCCAGCCGATGGAAGAATGAGGCTTTCTCGTAAAGTGCTTCAGTCTCCAGCTACAACTGTTGTCAGAACTTTGAATGACAGAAGTAGTATTGTAATGGGAGAACCTATTTCACAGTCATCATCTAATTCTTCTCAGTGATTTTTTTTTTTAAGAGAATTCTAGAATTCTATTTTGTCTAGGGTAATGTGCTGTAGAACAAAGTTTTAGTATTATCTACCATTGTGTAGATTTATATATAAATATATTCCAATTATTTGTATTAAAATGCTCATTTACATGTGCCATTTTTTTAATTCAAGAGTAACCCATATTCGTTTAATCTTATTTACATTATAAATCAAGAAATATTTATTATTAAAAGTACATCTTAGAAAAGATGACATACTTTTGTTTCTATAATTCTGAAATATATAAAAAACTTAGATATGTCATATATGTTATAACAAATCTCTTCCCACATCTTATTTTTCTTTATATACAGTAGTGATAATTTACCCTCAGTCATCCTACGGCTCACCTCTTTGCCCAACACTTTTACTTGCCTACAACTGTTCACAAGCTGGAACAGGCCATATTCAAAGCCAGTGCCTATTTCTTCAGAACAGTTACTAGATACAGTGAGTTGAGGGAGCTAATCTGATACACTTTTAATAATATGATGCCTTTCAAATTGGTCACAAAATCATAAACATAGTGGAATAAATATAAATGAGATTCTAACTAGGATGAGGTAGTAATGATGTATGTTTTTCAAATTTACCTAAACATAGAAAAATTATTTACTTGTCAAATTGAACTAGGTCAGTTTTTGAATACGTATATTGCTCTCTTGTATGGAAGAAGTTCTTAGTATAAGAGCTGGAGGAATCATCACTTTCAGCTAATACATGTTTGAATTCGATGTTTAGAAGTTACTGATATACATGTCAAGTTGTTCATTCCCATCATTTAAAATACCACCTTATAATTCCATACAAAAGTAAATGGTATGTGGACATCATAATTTAGAAGGTGTAATCCTTTTTAAAATCTTATAAAAATACACCAAACTCAGTGGTACGTGCCTATAGCCCCAGCTACTTGGGAGGCTGAGGTGGGAAGATCACTTGAGCTCAGAGGTTCAACACTGTAGTGTGCAATGATCATGCCTGTGAATAGCTACGGTACTCCAGCCTGGGCAACACAGCAGGATTCTATCTCTGAAAAAAAATTTAAATCTCATAAAAATATAGGTAAATCTGGCCAGGCATGGTGGCTCACACCTGTAATCCCAACACTTTGGGAGTCCAAGGCAGTTGGATCACCTGAGGTCAGGAGTTCAAGACCAGCCTGGCCAACATGACAAAATCCCATCTCTACTAAAAATACAAAAATTAGTGGGGCATGGTGGTGGGTGCCTGTAATTCCAGCTACTTGGGAGGCTGAGGCAGGAGAATCTCTTGAACCTGGGAGGCGGAAGTTGCAGTGAGCTAAGATCATACCACTGCACTCCAGCCTGGGCAACAAGAGTGAAACTCGATGTCTCAAAAAAGAAAAGGGGGGCGGGACCAGGCCTGGTGGCTCATGCTTGTAATCCCAGCTCGTTGGGAGGCCAAGGCAGGTGGATTACCTGAGGTCAGGAGTTCAAGACTAGCCTGACCAACATGGTGAAACACCGTCTCTACTAAAAATACAAAAATTAGCCAGGCATGGTGGTGGGCGCCTGTAATCCCAGCTACTCAGGAGAATCTATTGAACCTGGGAGGTGGAGGTTGCAGTAAGCTGAGATTGCGCCATTGCACTCCAGCCTGGGCGACAGAGCAAGACTTGGTCTCCAAAAAAAAAAAATAGGTAAATTCATGACTCAGGGCTAACTAGTTCATAAAATATTAAAAATTTAGCTGGCTAAACCAAAGATTTTTAAGATATGTATATTTGTGTCAATAAACATTGATTATATACCTTGTGTGTAAAACAGCATGTTAGGCAATGTTGATATGCTTTCTGAAATATTAAAGATTAATTGAAAGATTAAATTTAAACTATTTGCTTTCTATAGTTGATAGATTATTTAATAACAGTAACAATTTTTTCTTCTGCTTTCTGTTTAATACATAATTTTTACTTTAAGATATCTTAAATGGTAGAATTTCAAAATTGTAATTTATGTTTTTCTTAAATTTTCTGTTTTGTTTTTCAAAGGAACTTCCAACTCCTAATAATATGGAAAATGAAGCCAGCCATATATATATATATATATGTGTGTGTGTACATATATATGTATGTACGTACGTGTGTGTGTGTGTGTGTGTATATATATATATATATATATACACACACACACACACACACACGTACGTACGTACATACATATATATGTACACACACCTCTTAAACTTGAACCCTTGTCACTGGGTCAGCTTTTGGAGGAACACAAGCTCATACAAATGTATTATACTGTTGGTAAAATACGAATTAGGAAACTGAAGAGGCATAGCAAAGTCAATATAGCCCAAAGTCTTGTCATCAATCAGAGACAGATCTCCTTACCTGTCCAGGACAGTGTATGTTTATGAACACAGAGGACATATGATATACATATGATATCACTTCAGAAAGTCTTTAGGAGATCATCTGTCTGTCCCATCTCCATTTTACAATGATCTACCCGAGACCTTGAGTGGGACACGATTTGTCCAGGGTCTCTTAACTGGTTAGTTGTAAAGCCCAGATTATTGTTTCCTATACATTAATAGTGAGAGTCCTATTCACTGAGGCAAGCTAGAGAGATGTTTAGAATAATCTTTGCACCAACTCCACCAATTTTATCAAATGCATGAAGACTAGGATGTTGAGAAATGCATTTTCAGGCTCTTTCTCTAAAACCATGGGCTATCCAACCCACCAGTTGGCTGAGGCCCGTAGTACAGAAAAACAGAACTATGCTACAGTTTGCAAATAAACCCGAGTATTGATTCACTAGCCACTTGGTCAGCCTCATCAGTTCACTTCTAGAAAGTGATGATAGAAAAATAACACAGAGACATACATCTGTGTGCACAATACACCATTGTGTGAAAGAGCAAAATAATAGAAATCACCAGAGTACCCATCAGTGGAGGAGTACCCAATGTCATAAATAAAATAAGGACACTCTAGGAAGATACTTACACTATCCTATGTGAAAAAAAAAGGAAGCTATAACTGCATATGTATATATATATATATACACACACACACACACACACACACACATATATAATACAATCCCCTTTTTGCTTAAAAAAGAAAAGCTTATGTGTAGAGAGATTTTTGCTTTATAAGCACAAAAACATTCTGGAAAGAGACTCACCAAACTGTCAACAGTCTATGGTATAATTTTTGGAATATTAACTTGTGTTTGTTCCCAGTGTTTTCTTCCCCTCCTTTGTAAGTAGATGGTCAGACCTTTTTGTGGCCTCTTGCCACAAGGGAGATGTTTGTCATAGGGCCAGAAGCCAAAGTTGTCTGCAAGACACTTCCAATTCTGGTCCTGAATTTTATAAAATCTAAACCCACTGAGATTGTGCTTGCTGTCCTGGAGGAACTGGAGAGAGAAGGGAAGGTGTCTGGAGTATAAACAGGATCCTAGTCTGAGTTCTGGGGCACTCTGAAGAAGAGGACCATAGGGAGGCTGGGCTAGGAAGCTGGGAATTCCAAAGCCTCACCAAAGATTCTCCTGATTTTAAAAGTGGCAGGAGAGGAACCAGAACCAAAAGAGACCATGTAGTCTAAAACTATGGACACCTCAGCAGTTAACATTGTAGACTAAGTTCAATGGCTGAAGAGATGTCATTAGGGTTTGGTGCTACATAAAACCCTGAGACCCTTGCCAATCCCTAAGGGTAACAGCAATATCTGAGACTAAATTCCTAATTACCTAATAGGATAAAGAGAGTTGCTATAGGCTCAGAATTAATTTTTTGTAAAAAGTAAAGTGCTATTTTTTTTGCACATCTGAGTTTGTGGAATAAGATATTTACTACAAGTAATGGAATTGGAAATTCAGAGGGGAGAATGTCACTTAGCATATTTAATGTAATTTTCTAACGGTAGGATTATGGATAGTTTTAAGTTTTCCCTTTTTTACCACTTCGTCTCCCCTCAGTATTTTTTAAATAACATTGTATGAAGTTTTCTTTGACTGTTTTTTGTTTTACAAACAGCATCTCACTTCTGTCCACGCAGGCTAGAGTGCAGTAGTGCAATCTTGGCTCACTGCAGCCTTAGTGAAGCCAGTACTTAAATTCTAGAAACCTGTAGTGACACAAAGTACAAATATAGTTTGCTAACTGCAAACCACCATAAGAACCCCATTTCTGCTTAAACCAAGAGCCTACAGTTTATTCTGAACTTTTCTTATTTTTGTCTTCATTTAAGTGTTGGCAGTTTTCCCTACTTTCCAATGAAAATGACAGCTATATTATATGCTGGAAACTAATTTATAGTGACTCAGATCAAACTGAGTGCCATATTTGGTGGATGGCTCATTACAAGTACTTTTAAAACTTTTTTTTCTCATGACTTTTGTTTTCACACACACACACAAACACACTCACACACTCCATAAGTTACTGTTCTATCACAATATAGTTTTGTTGTTGTTTTTTGTTTTTTTGAGTTGGAGTTTCGCTCTTCTTGCCCAGGCTGGAGTGCAATGGCACGGTATCGGCTCACTGCAAGTTTCACCTCCCAGTTCAAGCAATTCTCCTGCCTCAGCCTCCTGAGTAGTGGGGACTACAGGCATGCGACACCATGTTTGGCTAATTTTGTATTTTTAGTAGAGATGGGGTTTCTCCATATTGGTTAGGCTGGTCTCAGACTCCCGACCTCAGGTGATTCGCCTACCTTGGCCTCCCAAAGTGCTGGGATTATAGGCATGAGCCACTCTGCCCAGCCAGTAGTTTGTTTGTTTTTGTTTTTTTTAAAGCCAAAACCATTTAGATAAGACAGTATAGTTTTTATATAATCATTTTTTTCTTCTCTTATAGAATATCTTACGTTCTTGGATCTAAGATGAAACTATGAATATCAGCATCTTTCTTAGTTCAGTTCAGCCAAGCATAGCATTCTTTTATTCAACACTTGACATGTGCAAGACATTATAAGATATGCAGGGAATGTGTCAGTAAATAAAACAGCTAAAGTTAGGCCAGGCGCGGTGGCTCACTCCTGTAATCCCAGCACTTTGGGAGGCCGAGGCGGGTGGATCACCTGAGGGTCAGGAGTTCGACAGCAGCCTGGCCAACATGGAGAAACCCCATCTCTACTAAAAATACATAAATTATCCAGGCGTGGTGGCGCATGCCTGCTAGCTACTCAGGAGGCTGAGGCAGGAGAATCACTTGAACCCGGAAGGCAGAGGTTGCAATAAGCCGAGATCGTGCCACTGTACTTCAGCCTGAGTGACAGAGCAAGACTCCATCTCAAAAGAACAAAAACAAAACAACTAAAGTTCCAATGCTGATATTCTAGCGTTTGGAAATTATAAGTATACAGCAGGTCCTTGAATAACGTTGTTTTGTTCAACACTATTTGCATTACAATGTTGAGAGGGAAAAAACATTGATTCCTGGCCAGGCCTACTGTCTGTGTGGAGTCTGCACTTTTCCCCATGTCTGCAGGAGTGTATTAGTCTATTCTAGCACTGCTATAAAGAAATACCTGAGGTCGGGCATGGTGGCTTACACCTGTAATCCCAGCACTTTGAGAGGGCAAGGCGGGTGGATCACCTGAGGTCAGGAGTTTGAGACCAGCCTGGCCAACATGGCAAAACCCTGCCTCTACTAAAAACAATGCAAAAATTAGCCAGGCATGGTGGCATGTGCTGTAATCCCAGCTACTTGGGAGGCAGAGGTTGCAGTGAGCTGAGATTGCTCCACTGCACTTAAGCCTGGGCAACAGAGGGAGACTCCATCTCAAAAAAATAAAAAAAGAAAAAAGAAAAAAAAATCTGAGACTGGATAATTTATTTTATTTATTTATTTATTTATTTTGAGACAGTTTCACTCTTTTGCCCAGGCTGGAGTGCAATGGCACGATCTTGGCTCACTGCAACCTCTGTCTCCAAGGTTCAAGTGTTTCTCCTGTCTCAGCCTCCCAAGCAGCTGGGATTACAGGCATGCACCACCATGCATAGCTAATTTTTGTATTTTTAGTAGCGATGGGGTTTCACCATGTTGGTCAGGCTGGACTTAAATTCCTAACCTCATGTAATCCACCCGACTCTGCCTCCCAAAGTTCTGGGATTACAGGCTTAAGCCACCATGCCCCACCACTAAATAATTTATAAATAAAAGAGGTTTAATTGGCTCATGGTACCAAAGGCTGTACAAGAAGAATGATGCTGGCATCTGCTTGGCTTCTAGGGAGGCCTCAGGAAACTTTTAATCATGGCAGAAGGCAAACGGAAAGCAGGCACATCTTACATGGCTGGATCAGGAGGAAGAGTGGGGAGATGAGGTGCCACACACTTTTAAATGACCAGATCTCATGAGAACTCACTCACTCTACAGTACCAAGGATGCATGTTGCTAAGCCACTTATGAGAACTCTGCCTGCATGACCTGATCACATCCCACCAGGTCCCTCCTCCAACATTGGGGATTACAATTCAACATAAGATTTGGGTGGGGACATAGATCCAAACAATATCACCCTGGCCCTGGCTCCTCTCAAATCTCATGTCCTTTTCACATTTCAAAATACAATTATGCCTTAAAAATTCCCCAAAGTCTTAAGTCATTCCAGCATTAACTGCAAAGTCTCAGACAAGGCAAGTTCCCTCCACCTTGAGCCTGTAAAGTCAAAAACAAGTTAGTTACTCCCACGATACAATGCAGGTATAAGCATTGGGTAAATTTATCCCCTTTCCAAAAGGGAGAAATTGACCAAAATAAAGGGGCTACAGCCCCATGCAAGTCCAAAACCTAGTAGGGCAGTCATTAAATCTTAAAGCTTCAAAATAATCTCCTTTGACTTCATGTCTCACATTGAGGACAGA